GGAGGCTGAGGCAGGAGAATCGCTTGAACATGGGAGGTGGAGGTTGCGGTGAGCCGAGGTCATGCCATTGCACTCCAGCCTGAGCAACTAGAGCAAAACTCCATCTCAAAAAAAAAAAAAAAAAAAAAAAAAATCACACTTCTTGGCATATGTTAGCTTGTTGTGGATGGGAATCAGACTCCCCAATGGGAGTAGGGATGGCCTAGCACTTTACCCATAATTCCTTTCCTGTGTCCACTGAGGGGCACCAACCTTTATTTCCCTTTCTTCCTTGACACACCAGAGTATATCACATATGCATACTCAGCCTGACAGGACTACTAAGGATAAAGGTCACATCTCTTACCTGATGTTCACCTTGCCTTGCCTCTGGAACCAAGCACCTGCAGGGCGTTTGACAAACAGGTGCTACCGTTTGTCAGCTCTGTGTGTGCTTAGGTTTCTTGCAGCTGTTTGGTGGTCACATGTGCCTCGCCCAAGGGATCTGGGTTGCACCTGCTGGTGATGGGCCCACCCGGAAGTCTCATGAAATTGTCCAGATGACAGATGTTTGTGTTTGAGTCAAAATTCTGTTGTGTCAGAAGACTGATGGTGATTAAGAGCATCTGAGCTCCAAATCTAACTTTAATGCAGTCTGTCTTGAGTCCCAAATATCACATTGGGAGTTATGTGATCTTTTCCCTTAGCTTCTCCATTTGTAAAATAAAGACAATGATAGAACCTCCTTGCAAATTGTTGTGTGCATTTAATGCGATGATATGTTTAAAGTGTTTAGCACAAGGCTAAGCAAAATCGGGACTCAGTAAATTGACTAGTCATCATCATCATTATTTGACACTTTGATCTTTTTGCAATATGAGGTTTTAATAGCTCTGTCAGAATCCTAAACTGGCCTCTGAAATTAGGCGTCAGGGAAAGGGCAAGGCTTTACCTGCCAAGCCTCTCTCCTTAGTCACTATGCCGTCTGACATTATAGATCTCATCTAAATGTCACAAGTCACATTCCTATCTCTTTGGGTTCTGGAGTTTGCTAAGCCCATGGATTCACTTTTTAGAGCATTAAAACAGAAATGCTTCTCAGAGATCAGCTCATCCAATTCACTTGCTTTACAGACTGCAGGAGACACTGAGACTTCAAGACCGAGTGTCAACAGCTCGAGGGTGGCAGAGCTGGAGCCAGACCAGGCCTGCAGATGGGGTGGCCCTCCTCTTTCCACTGCGTGCGGCCATTTACCCTGAAGCCACGCTCTTAGAGACTCAGGCTGTGCTTTCTGTGGGTCCTGGAGTCCTCAGGACACTCTCCTCCTTTCCTGAGCAGCCAGCACTTTTGAGGTCACATGTCAGAGACCCACACACATCTCTTTACGAAAACAAATTGTGGAACTCACGCTAGTGCCATTCATTGAGGGGCCAAGGACCCAGCAACAATCGCAACCAGAGTTTCACCCTTCCCCTTCCAGACTGAACAAACCCACCCTACTTGCCCCTTGGAGTGCACTGAGTTTTAAAGAGAATTGAGATTGAGGCCAGGTGTGGTGGCTCATGCCTATAATCTCAGAAATTTGGGAGGCCGAGGTGGGCGGATCACTTGAGGCCAGGAGTTTGAGATCATCCTGGCCAACATGGTGAAACCCGTCTCTACTAAAATTACGAAAGTTAGCTGGGCATGGCAGCGCGCACCTGTAATCCCAGATACTCAGGATGCTAGCAGGAGAATTGCTTGAA